GTGAATGCAGTCCCCATGAAGTGGGCTGCTCTGTCCTGGATGGTGTCCGCTTCTTGTGTATTGTAGCTCCACTTCTCCAGACACATGGAGAATATTTATCACTCTCTGGGCTTGTGCCTGTTAGAAGGAAGTTGCTTCATGACATGATAACAAAATCGCAATACACCCCACCTTTGGGAGGTGGGAACAGTTTTCACTTGTGAACCAGCTGGGTTTTAATCACTGACCTGTGTCCCAACTCAACTGGGAAGTGTGATTAGTTATATCCCCACTCTTGTTGACATCTCCCACAACTTGTAAGTACCCAATTGAACCATGCAAATGTTTTGCTTGAGTTTGCCTTTGAGGATTAAAGTGACTTCTCACCAGCTTTCCTCCCTAAGAATGAAATTCATCTGTTATTTGAAGAAGCAGCCAATAGATTACTCACTTCTCCTTCAACTAGTATTGTAGTCCTTCATCAACAACAACATCATGTTGTGACTGTCAGTTTAAAAGTGAGTGAAATGGGTGGAAAAACTGTAGAATTTGGCCTGTTCAAATAGGCTAAATTATGTTTTCCAGCTTAGCATTAACTAGTGACATCTATCTGCAGAACAACAGTTGATCTACAGATTACATTGTCTCTCCAATATTTGACTGTTTCTCAGTGGTTTTTTTACAACTTGTATTAATCACTTGCTTGTTTGCAAGCTTCTGGATGTGAGTGCATTGCATAAACAGGTGTGTAATAAACTATTGCTGTAACAATCCGAAGGCTGTTACTAGGCAGGCTTTCCTTAGCAGAATCTTAGTGCCACTTTCTCTCTCTCCTCCATACTGCACACACCATGTCTTGTAGTGCTAAAATATAGTGTGTCCAATCTCAGTGATCTTGAGGTTGCAGAAAACTTGCTCCCTCCTAGTTATATTAGTTACAGCAGTGCCCAACATCTGTGTGCCACTTTTTCCCCCAAAGGAGAAATGTAGTGTCTTAACACTGTCCTACCCTGTGTACGTCCTGCACTCCAGCTCCTGGCACTTGTTTAAACCCTATTCAATCACTAATTTCATCTAATTCTGATGTAGGTTACAATGGAAACACCAATTCAGCTTTTCTCTCCAAATGCTGTGCCAGATCTCCCCCCACCCCGGGCATTGCACTGGTATTTTAAACCAAAACACATTGAATTTGCATGTTATCTGGAGGAAGCTGGGTTTGTTCAGCTTGATCCAGTTAAAGGGTCTTCTGGCTTATTGAATAACACTGGGTTCACAACCATGTTAAAGTAACAACACTTAACAGCTGATTGAATTGTCAGTTAGCTTTTGAAAACTAACTGACAAGTCATCAAGGTCTGAGCATGAGAATTGGGTCAGTGTGTTTAATGGCATGTAATTTGATCTCTTCCAGATGTCCTACTTTGACCGGGATGATGTTGCCCTCCCCCACTTCTCCCAGTTCTTCAAAGATCACTCCCAAGAGAAGCAGGAACATGCAGAGAAGCTGCTGAAATTCCAGAATCAGCGTGGAGGCCAAGTCCTACTCCAGGATGTGAAGGTTGGAATTCATGGAGGGTGTAGTTTGGGGAACAGCTACTCTTGTGGTGTGTTTTAAGTCATAAATGACAAGATTTTCACATCCTGAAGGAGTGATAAGTTCTCTTGCTTGGCATCCCTGTTTGATCTCCATGTCATGCAAACTAGCAACAAGCCCTTTGGCCCATCATGTCTATGGTAACCAACTAACACCAAACTACACTAATCCATCTACTTGCACCTCATCCATAGCCAACTATGCCCTTGCATTAAGTACTTGTCCATATGCTGCTGGAGTAACTGCCTCCACTGCCATCCCCCCCAACTCAAGTGGTTCAACCCATACTTCTACACCCTCCTTCAGGGAAGGGTTTCCTCTAATCCCCCTCTAACCTGCTTACTCCTCACATCTGCTCCCTCTGGTCTTTGTCTGCCATGGGGAAGACATTCCTTCCATCTACTGTCCAGACTCCCCAGTCTTTTATACTTCCATCAGATAACCACCTTTGCCTCCAATGAAACTCCTAGCCTATCCAACCCCTCCAATGGATTTTCCATCTTGGGGCAACATCCTGGTGAGCCTCACCTGCAGTGCCCTCCCATCCTCCTGACTGTGGTCCTGGTAACCACACTGGCCAGGCCAAACTTGGGATACAACACCAAGTTTGTAACAAGATTTGTCCATGTACTGAGCCCCAACTAATGGGGACAAGCATCTTGGAAGACAACTTCACCACCCTGTCTACCTTTGCTGAACCTTGAAGGAACTGTGATCTTGTCCATCTTGTTACCTTTGTTCATTTATTGTCAACAAACTTCAATTGAAGTCATTGAAGGGACAGTAGTGATGTTTCTGATCATCCTGCTAACGTAGGCATGCATGCTGCCACAAGTACAGGTGGGACTTCAACCTGGGTCTTGTGGTCCAGCAGTAGTGTCCCTACATCAGGACTACAAGGACCCTTGGAATTAAGTTGTGAATATCCTGCTTGGAATGCCATCAGATGGACACTGATGCAAACAATTAATTGTATGTAAATTTACTCCTTATCCCCACAATGACCTGTTTGAACTTCCTGCTTCAGATCAAGGATAAATGGGGCAAGGTGAAAGCAATTTTCAAATAACTGAACTGATCTCCTCTTCTTCAGAACTTGAGAGATGGCACAGTGGCTCAGGGGTCAGCACTGCTGCCTCACAGGACATTAGGTTTGGTTCTGGCCTGTAGTGACTGACTGGAGTTCACAAGTTCTGCATGGGTTTCCTTGCACAGTCCAAACCTGTGCCAGTGAAGAGGACAGGCCACGTGAAGTGCAAGGTTACAGGTTTCATGTGGTGGTGGAACTGGGTGGGTTTCTCGTCAGATGGTTGGTGGGTGGTCTCAATGGGCTGAATGGTCTGCTCCCATGCTGCAGGGATTCTGATTCTGAAGCTTAACTGTCCTTTCCATCCTCAGAAGCCAGAGAGGGATGAGTGGGGTAACAGTCTGCAGGCAATG